AGGTGGTGTTCTTTTCCATGTGTAGAGCTTGGCGGGGACACCTGAGCAAGCATGGGTGGAGCGAGCCCCGAGACAGCTTCCTGTTCATCGCTTTGCTGTGGCTTAGGTTCATCCTGTGGAGTGTCTGCTACCAGGCAAGCAGAGATAACAACTTCAGGTTTTACCAGCGACTGAACTACTTTCTCCCTTCTCCCCTCAGATCGGGGAGTAGACCACAAAGGTCAACTGATGGAGGAGGGTTATCTGTCTATTGTGTTATTTTCATTGGTCAATAAAGAGACTGCCTTGGCCCTCTAATAGGACAGAAAATTAGGTAGGCGGAGTAAACAGAACAGAATGCTGGGAAGAAGGGAAGTGAGGCAGAAGCCATGGAGCCAGTCACCAGGTCAGACATGCTGAATCTTTCCCGGTAAGCCACCACCTCGTGGTGCTACACAGATTATTAGAAATGGGTTAATATCAAGATATGAGAGTTAGTCAGTAACTAACTCTCTAGAGATAATGGGCCAGGCAATGCTTAAATGAATACAATTTGTGTGTTGTTATTTCTGGGACTAAGCTAGCCGTGCGGGAGCCGGGTGAGATGAAAAGCAGGCCTGCCCGCAGCTCCTTACTACAGTCAACTGCTTTATCCTAATGGGAATTGTTGGGATGGCCACATCTGCTTCCCCATCCTTCACCGATGTCAGCATGATGTAATGAGTTATAGCCATTCTCATCGTCGTATGTAACCCCAGAATTACGCTGTCGCAAATGGCACTGAAAGAAACCGCTTGGCATTGTTTGAAGCATGGCTGATGTGTCCTGTTGAATCCATCGTGTACCTAGTTCCATTGTGTTTTCTCTGATTCTGTAGTGACTAAAGACAGCTCGCTGATCCCACTCCTTAGGTCTTAGGTTATTTTGAGATGCCAGGGTTGTACTGCAGCTTCTCTCTGTCACCTACAGCCCCAGTTAGCAAGGATCAACTGGGTAACTGATTAATTAACTGCAGTAGACGAGGAGAGCACGTTAGCTGCTATGCTCCAGCCCTTCGAGTATCTTGGCTTCCTTACCCAAACTTCTGCAGTCTTCGCCTCCACTGGAGCTCTCAACCACACCCACGGCTGCCCGGGCCCTACTGAACACCCGCATTGTATTAGCGAACAATCTGTCTTCCTCATGTGCTTCCTAAGGGTACAGATGGGTTTGTCATGATTGTCCTGGGGTCTGGGGTCTGCCATAGGCCTTAGCACAAAGTGACATTTGATGAATTCAGTAAGTGACCAATCTGGACATATTAAGATATTAAGCGATTAACGTAAAAATGCAAAAGTCCTTGCTTCCCCCCACCTTTTGAATACAATGTCCACAAAATAGCAAGTACTCAAGAGGGGGGAAAAAAGCAAAGAACATTGTTCTCCAAAATGAGACACAGAGGCTGAAAGGGTAGGAATAACCATGCCATCAGGGAGCTAAAATTGGATGAAATAACTCAATAGCTGTTTTCCAACCCTGTGTTTTCAAGCTCCAGAGTGACAAGCACAATGCAAGTCTCCTCTTAAATGAGGAAGTCAAAACCTGGGACTTTGCTACTTGCAGGGCATTGTCCTAGCAAAGTGGCATAGAGCTGAGTGGCCCGTGAGGGCAGCCACCAGCCACAAGCAGCTGTTACACTGTGTGTGAGCTGTAATCATAAATAAAACGCCAGTTTGGAGGACGTAGTTAAACTATCTTAATATGTAGATTGATTACATGCAAAAAATAAAACCAGGTCTATTTCACACTGACAAACGAAACAGAAAGGTCCCCTGGAACTTTGACCAAGAATGAGACCAAATTTATATTTCTCTTTTCTCCATGTGTCTTCTTGTCTGTGGTTACCTGCGTGTCTATAGGCTGTCTATAGGGGTCTATGGACGTCTATAAGAATGTCTACAGGCTGTCTGTGGGTGTCTGTATGCTGTCTATAAGCATCTATAGGCATCTGTAGACATGTTTATAAGCTGTCTCCCAAAAGGCTCTGAAGGGTATTTATTGAACAGCACAGAAACCGTGGCCTGAGGAAGGAACAAGGGATTCTTCACAGAGCTTTGTAATGGAGTTTTACAAGGGAAGGAGTTGTTTACTGACCCAGAAAGGCACTCAAATCACAACCAGACATTATCAATCTATAACTCAACACTCGACTTGGAGTATTTGTTTCCTTTGAGGTTGCTTCCAACCTGTGAGATGCTTTCAGTAAATGATCACCACCTTACACGCAAACACACACACGTGTTATTCTGACTCTGTCGCATAGAGGAGTGCATAGTCAATATGAACTCCATGCTTTAGTTCAGGCCATGAAGCTGGTTGCGTGGGAAATTCAGGGAATAGTAAGTTTGGTCGCATCGCTCTCTTAAAAGCAGGTTAAAAGTATAGGCTGGACACACAGTAGGACAGCAGATTAAAAAGCTTAGGCCGAGCACACAGTAGGACAGCAGGTTGAGTACATAGCCTTAATGATCTCAAGGCTTGTTATTAACTTGACTGCAAGACCTGACAAAACTTCAGTCTCTTTGAAGGCAGAAGGTATTTTCAGAAAATAGACCACATAAAATGTTTTTAGCATTTGAGGTTTAATAAATATGTCACTAAAATTGATTTTATCATGTTCTTTAAAGCTTTAATGTAGCTGCTGGATGATTATTATTAAAATTATGGTCACGCACATGCCATTCCAGCATGTGGGAGACGGAGGCAGGGGGATCAGGAGTTTAAGCTCATCTTCTGCTAAGTATTGAGTCCAAGGCCAGCCTGGGCTACATAAAACCATGCCACAAAAATCTGGAAAAAAATTATAGCTTGTTTGTTTTGTTACTGCGTAAAGCAAACTGAAAGAGATATACAGGGGCGGGAAGCAGGCTGCCCCTTCCGAGTCTTTTCTCCCTGCTGGTTGTCAGCCTTCAGCAGTTTATTTACTTCATCTTAACTCTTTGGCCCTCTTCTCTAGCAGAATCAGGACAAGCATTGTAGGGCCTAGCAGAGGGTGTATCTTTGAGGTTGCTTGTCTCGATCAAAATGCAGGTCAGCAAATCCGCTGACCACTTGGTCTTCTGCCCCATGAAGTCCTCAGATAGCAGCTTTATATATAATCTGTGTTCAGGACCAGCAATAGTAGTCTCTATAGACCACATGGGCGGTTTTCTACGCCTCCTTAGCTCAGTTCCTTTCCCCTTACCCTTATCATCCTCGAGAAGAGATGGAGGGAAGCGTGAGATGCAGGTGAGTTAATGACACCACTGTCTGGCAGGCTCTTTGGGAAAAGGATTGAAATGGATGCCAAAGAAACAAGACTTTCCCTTCCACATTGCTGCAGCTCCCTGCTCCTCTGTGTGGGTGACTTGAAAGAACGGTCTTAGAAATGAAAACTCGAGCATCTAACAGAGGGAGGGATTAGCAACTTTAGCAACATTACAGAGTCACAGAGCGAGCCATGAATGAGGAAGCAGGAGTGACATGTGACAGAGAGCAGAGTCCAGAACGGAGGTCTCCTGAGTGAGAGACATCTATGCTTGTTGGCCTTGAAGAGTCACAAGCAGAAAAACAGTCCCTTATGTGGCCATCATCCAAGCAAGAAGGATGGGTAGGAGGGCCAGTTCTAGATGGAGAGAGATACTCTCTTTCTCTGATCTGAGGGCAGGAAAGGAGCATGGGTGACTCGGAGGAGCTGCCTCACTGAAAGACTCCCCCAACACCAGTGACAACAAGAGAAAACAGTCAGTTCCCCCTGAGAGTCTCCTGTCCCTCAGCAGTTTCTCACAGCTTCTAAACCACCTGGAAGGCCGGAAATCCGTAAACCTGGCCACCTTCTAACCTTCCTAAGTTCAATGTTTCAGGAACCCTTTGAGCCTTGCAAGTTGTGTGGACTTCCTGACTCACGTGAGTCTCTCCCTCCCCTTACAGGGAGAGGAGTTTCAGTGTAGAAATGACACCACCACAATGGCTAAAACTGCCACTAGGAAGCAGAGAGGAGGCACATTGAACAAAAGGAGGAACTTTGCTTGATGAGTAGAACCTAGCTTCTGAAGGAGGCGAGAATCTCAGAGACATGACGGTAATTAGCATCACTACATGAGAGTTCTGTAAGTCAGAGATGAAGGGGTTTGAGTTTGTTTCCAGCAGACAGAGAAATCTGAACTTAGACAATTTCTACAAAATAGTTTCCTAGGCCATTGGTAAAGTTGCCCTCCAATGGCTTCAATGGTAATTTGCATTGGTGCTTGGTTTCACCATGGCTGGGTCTGGGCCCATGGTTAGGCAGGCATCATGGCTGAAGAAATATGTAGTAAAGGCTCCTATTTCATGGGTTGTACAAAGCCGAGAATGCAGGAAGGGGTCAGGGCAAGATATAGTTCTACAGAAACGGGTTACTGTAAACAGAAAATTCTGTCAGAGAGCCGGGAGTAATAAAGGAGAAGAAATCAGCACATGGCGAAGCAATGGTCAGAAACTGCCAAGGGGCTGGCTTCCTCCGCTAAACCTGCTGAGTTCAGGGGAGTGCAGGCACAAACTGAAAGCTAAAGAGCTTGGGGCTCACTAGGCAGGAAAGTCTGGGACATCATATCTGTAGTTCGTGGCTTTGGAAAGCTGAATCTAAATCTAAAGAGGTAACTGGAAACCTAGGCACAGGGCTGCAACAATGACAGCTGCTGAGGCTAACATGGCTGCTCCATTATTCCCTCTGCAACTGAGGGGAGATGAGGGAGGGAGGGAGGGAGGGAGGGAGGGAGGGAGGGAGGGAGG